TGTAAGAACAGGCAAAGGTTATACAGTAACATTCGATTTAGATCATACGATTGTTACATCATTAAATCATTTTATATCTCAATCAAATTTAACACTTTTTCAAGTTGGTCTCGCTGCTTTTTTTGCATTTCTTTACAAAATGTCAGATAATCAACAACTAGAATTTTGTACCGGTATCGTTGCTGCTAATAGATCTCAATATGAACTTGAAAATCTTATTGGTTTTTTCGTTAATACAATCCCATTTTTCATAAGAATAAATCCTTATGAATCTTTTATCGAATTTTGTCATAGAATTCAACAAATTTGGCTTGAAATTTTTCCATATTCAAATTTACCTTATCAAGAAATGGTTAAATTAAATTCAAATTTAAGATCTTCATTTCTTCGTACACTTTTTCTTATTGAAACAAAAATTGATGATAATGAACAAAATATCGAAATTGATCAAGAAAATACACTTAACATTATAGATCGACATTTATTAACTGGAAATATTGCAAAATTTGATATGGTTTGTATGCTTTATGAACATCGTCGAAATGAAACAATTTCAGTTACATTAAACGCTTCATTGGATTTATATGATGAATCAACAATTTCTAAGATTTCTCAACGATTTCATTCGTTACTGGAACAATTATTTCTTTTTCCTAATAGCCAAATAAATAAACCAATTTATGAATTTTCATTATTATTATCCGATGAAAAATTACTTATGAAAACCATGAATAATACACAAATATTATTTCCTACTTTGACTTGTTTTCATCATAAATTGACTGATCAAGTTTTGAAATATTCTCAAAAAATATCTGTTGAACTTGATGATCAATCTCTTACATACGCTGAACTTTTATATTATACTCAAATTTTATCATTCAGTCTATTAAATAACTATCATATTATACCAGGTGATATTATTTATCAATGTGTTGAACGAAGTTTATCAATGGTAAGTTAAATAAGATAAAAAGTTTTTACCTACTCTCTCCGATTATTTATATGTTTAGATAATCGGTATTGTTGCGATTGAAATGGTTGGAGGTATTTATTGTCCATTATCATTCGGCGATCCACAACATCGTTTAAATACACTTATACAACAAACGAAAAGTCGTGTTATTTTAACTCATTGGTTGACAATGTCTAAATTTTATGATAGTAATCTTTTATTGATAGATATAGATTCAATATTATGTAGTAGTAATAACAATATCATTAGCAATGTTGATATTGATTCTCTATCAAATATAACAATTACATGTGAAAATATTGCGTATATTGTTTTCACAAGCGGTTCAACAGGTATACCAAAAATGACTCAAATTCGACATAGAAACTTGATTGAATGTGTTCAATCACTTTGTTATATTGATTTATTAAATAATAGAGATACAATTATACAAATGGCACAATGTTCATATGATGTTCATGTTCAAGAAATCCTTGGTACATTGATGATTGGAGCTACTTTAATTATGCTTCATCCTCAAGGAAATCTAGATATTGATTATATTCTTAGAATTCTACATGAAAAACAAATCACATATTTACAAAGTGTTCCAGCATATCTAAATAATATCGATGAATTTGTATTAAAATATAATAAATCTAAGATATTTACTTTACGAAATCTCGATATTGGTGGTAAGGAATTTATTGCATTCGTTGAAATCTTTAATATATATATATGTTGTAGGTGATGTTAATAGAATTGATCTTGTTAAAAATTTATGTAATCATTTATTTGAAAATACTCGTGTATGGAATACATATGGACCAAGTGAAACAACAATTGATTGCACATTTCATATTGTAGATATACTAAATGATAAAGAAACTATTCCAATTGGTGTACCAATTCCTAATTATCGATGTATGGTTTTGGATGAGTTTTTACAGACTTGTATTGTAGGACATAATGGCGAGTTAGTTGTAACAGGTGTTGGTATTTTTGCTGGATATTTTCAGCGTGATGATTTAACCAAAGATGTTTTAATTGAAATTGATAATGAAATATTTTATAAAACAGGTGATATTGTTCAAATAGATCAAACTGGTTTTCTTCAGTATCAAAATCGTAAAGATTATCAAATCAAGTTGCATGGACAACGTATTGAACTTGGTGAAATTGAACAATTTTTACTCGATACATCACTATTAGCATGTGTTGTTATGAAATGGGATGATGATCATTTGATTGCTTATGTCGAAGATTGTGATATGATAGAAATTGAATTATATGAGCATTGTCGATCTTATTTACCTTTTTATATGATTCCATCAATGTTTATTAGACTTGAAAAATTACCGAGAAATGATAATGGAAAAATCGATAGAAAATGTCTTCCTCGACCTGATATTTCCCTTTTGCCATCCGTTGCAAATAATACAGAATTGAAAAGACCTAATAATGAAATTGAAACTATTGTTCATAAACTTTGGTGTAACATTTTACAGTGCGATCAAATTTCAATTGATTCAAGTATCTTCACTATAGGTGGACATTCTCTGCTTCTGATGAAACTCTACTATCGATATCAGACTACATTTCAATTAGAGATAAATACACTTGCTATTACTAATCTCTTTACATATTCAACAATTATCGATCATGCTCATTTAATATCTGAAGCAATTTCTACTAAAAAAAATCTTGAAGAAAGTTGGCTTGCGTTGCATCTTACTCAAGGTAAAACTGAACTTGAAAAATTTCTATTGATTATTTTAATTTTTGTATTGTAGCTAAGGCCACATTTGCTCAAGAACGAATCTTTCTAGATGAACAAATTCGTTTTCCATCTAAACATCACAATCTCATGTATGTTATACCATTGGTTTATCGTATTTTGTCGACTAACGATCATTTATCGATTGATCGATTACATCGAGCACTACACACAGTTGTCGCAAAACATCGTGTTTTACGTACAGGATTTTATCTCGATATGAATGGTATGATCATACAGCATTGCCTTGATATCAGTGCTACGATCAATGATCAAGAACCATATGGTTTTTCAGTAATCAATATTAACAGCAATGTTGAAAGTAACGAAGTAATCAAAAAAGTAATAAATCGTTCTGACTTATTTGATTTGTCGAAAGGACGTGTTCTGAATTGTCATATTGTTCATCGTCATAGCTTCTGCGATTTATCTTATGATGAGGATACGTTGATTATGGGTGATCTAATCATATTCACAATTCATCATTTAGTATTTGATGGAATATCGGTATCACTTTTTCTCAACGATCTTTCTCTTGCTTATACAAATGATTGTTCGCTGCCTGTTGATGAAAATGTCATGCAATGTATCGATAGTACCGTATATGAACGTTTAATGGATATGACACAATCGCATGAATTTTGGTATTCTCAATTGAAGGATTATAACTTCATACGTTCATTACCATTACCTTTTGACCGACATTGTTTGTCTACTGATTATCGATCAGGTTTCCATTTTGTTACTCAGATATATTTTGATGATGATATTTCGATAGCATTTTTAGAATATGCTACTTTAAATCATATAACACCTTTTCAGTTAGCAATGAGTATATTTTATGCATTTCTATTCAAGTTAACTGATGGACAAGATGATTTATGCTTTAGTTGTTTACATGCCAATCGACACAGAACTGAATTACAAAATATAATTGGAATGTTTGTTGCAACATTACCATTTCGAATTCAACTTAATTCGCAATGGTCTTTTGAGAACCTTGTTAAACATGTACAAGAAAATTGTTTATCAGTTTTTCAACATACTCATTATCCATTGCAATACATTCTCGCTGATTTTCAACGGAATTATTCAAATGTTTCTTTTCTTGATACTTTATTTGAACTTATCACTGTATCTCCTGATATTAATAAATTATCTTTGGATGGGTCAAATTTAGAACAAGTATCCGTTGAACAATTACATGAAGCAACATATTTTGATGTAGATGCGGTGTTTGTATACAATCCAACAGTTGAAACTGGAAAATTATTATGTAATATTTACGGCTCACGTGATGTATTTGATGAAACTACAGTCAATAAAATAGGTCGAAAACTTCAAGCT